TAATTAATAAATTTTAATTTATACCTTAAAAATAAATAAATCTAACATTAAAAAATCACATCAGACTTAAAAGTAATCTGTCAATAACTCAGCACCATACTTGTACTAGCACGTGGTATACAGCGAAGAATGCATAATGCGCAATGCCTACCACAACTGGGCAAGTGGTCCAGAGAGAGACAATACAATGAATGTATGGTATGTTTTCCACCGGAAGGAAGCAGCTACAATGATGACAAACTTTAATCATTTTATTATTTTTTTAATAGTTAGATGTTAAATTTAGTCTTTCAATTTTATAAAATATATATTTTTGGTCTTTTAATAATTTTTTTATATTTTTTTGATTTTTTAAATTTAAAAATTATATAATTTTAGTTCTTTCGTCAATTAAATATGATGTAACAGTTAAATAATTTTATGTGACATTATTTTTTAATTTTTTTGATGATGTGGCAATAATATATATTATAATTATATTATATAAATAAATAAAAATGTCAGATAGATTAATATTTATATTTTAATTAAAAACAAATGCAATTATTTTATTACCCTCACCCTTTCATTCCCTCTTCTTCCCCTTTTTTCTTTCTCTTTCTTTTTTTCCTACCTTGGGTCGGTAGAAAAATGAACCCAGCAGACAAAACCTAACCTTCCTCACCTTCCCAATCCCTCTTCTTCCCCTTCTTTCTTTCTCTTTCTTCTTTCCTACCTTGGGTCAATGGAAAGTTGGGTTCATCGGAACCCAGCAGATGAAACCTAGCAAGGCTGGGTTCCGATGAACCCAACCTTGTTGGTTTTGTCAAAACCCAGCCTTGCTGTTTCGACGCAATTTTCATTCCCAATTGTTAATAAATTTGGAAGTTGATTTACAATTTGATTGCATTTTTGTTGGAATTTGATTAGAGTTTGATTGATATTGTTTATTGAATGGTTAATTTGATTTAATAAGATATGCTAGGTTTGAGACTTCAATGAAACCCAGTAGTTGGGTTCAATGATAGAGAGTTTCAAATTCTCCTTCAGAGCATTTTAGGATTCATAAACATATTATTTTGTAAGGACTCACCCCATTAGTAGTAGAGGCGACCTAACTCGAGTTAGATTGATTTTGCAGAGAGTGAAGATAAGAGACCATTCTAGGGTTCACAAATCTTTATTGGTGGTTTGTAGGCCCGTGAGACCCATTGAAGGGGCTTTGGTGCAGGAAGAAGATGACATGTCATAAAAAACAATTCCAGATCAGCACATTTTTAAGTTGTTCTTGTTATGTCATAAAAAAAAAAAAATGTCATGTGGCCGAGTTAACGGTTTAAATTGACAAAAGAACAAATGTTGTGTATCTTTTAGATTTGAGGGATCAAAAAAATATAAAAAATTATTAAGAGACCAAAAATATGCAACTCACTAAAGTTGAGGAACCAAATTTAACATTTAACCTTTTTAAATTCGATTTTGAAGAAAAGACGCGATGTGCAGAGCACATGTGATGATGCTTCAGACAAAGTGAATTCAGTGCAATCATTTTTTTTTTTCTTAACAGGAAGAATTCCAAGGGAACTGTAAGAGTAAGACCTAAAAATAAAATTCAGATCATTATATTTAATCACATTTTTAAAAAGTGGTAACTAGACCATAAAAAATTGGACGAATTCAGTGCAATCATTTTGTTACGAGAAAATGAAGAAGGAACCATGGATATGATGCGTAGAGCTTGAGAGGCTCTTCCACATTGAATAATTCCACTCATTTTTATCGTTGATTTATGTCTTATTTTTTACATTACCAAGACTGGAAGCGGTGAAATATTAAACTTTGTCTTACAAAATTCTATTTCTTCTCCATTCAGAGTTCCCTTTCTTTTCTCTTTTTTCTCTGAAATACAGTGGATTTCAACGAAGGATGAATTATATAAATAACCAGATCAATTTGCTTTTCTTACAGCATAAAAAATAAAATTTTAAGAAAATTTGAAAATAAAAATGTATTGCAAGTTTAGATACTAACACATAAACAAGCAGTAAAATACTAATTAACTAAGGATATATATTATGCAGCATGCATTATTAATTTAAGAAGTTAGGACATTAACAACATTATTGTGAATATGTAGATGCACATTATCGTACAATAAGTAATATAATAATGTATTCCAAATTATCCCATAGAGCATAAATATTAAAAATAACTCTCGCTAAGTATGAAAGTCATGTTAATTGTAATTTTATCTAATAATTTCGAAATATAAGATAGAGAAACACAATTTAATTAATTCTAAATTCAGCTAATTTGTAAAATTAGTTTCAATTTCTAGACAATCTAGGACACAATTTTCGTCAACCCAATCTGCTTCAAACTTTTATTGTTGAATTTTCTCTCAATTTATTAATTTTCAAGTGACAGTCAAGAAAACTATATATAATTTACTAATTTTTCCTAAGATCTAGTAATATTTATATTCTAATTTATCAAGTTTTGTATTTCTACACAAATCGAAATAAGTAGAAATATTATTAAGTCTTATAAATTTTCTTTTGAAACTGTATATAGATACTATGAGTATATTTTTATCTTTAACTTGTGTTATTTTATTCAATGATTCAACTATAATATATTTTTTTAAGATAAGTACCAGCTATTTTAATAATTAATTAGGTGATCAAGTCAACTAAAAGCATTAAATATAAAATAAAATAATTACTTGAACAAAAAATAAATAGAGAAATTAAATTCAACTGAATTTGAAGATTCATTATTTGAATCCAATTGGAACCTTATAAAAAACGACTTAGTTCATGACATAGAGAGATCAATTAAAAAAAAAAAAATCTCATTTTTAATAAAAAAAAATCCAAAATGGATCAATTGCACCTCTAAAAATTTTTTTCTTTTTCACTGGAGTTCCTACTCTTCCTCTTGCTAGAAAAATCTCCTCCTCAACCGGCTGCCTTTAATTCTAGTACTGGATAAATATTTACTGGAAACCTAATTGTAATAGAAGTGGAACCATGTCTAAGCAAGAACGACAGTGTTAATGTGCTGGAAATCGCCCAAGGTATCGACACGCTAAACAAGTGCCGACACTTTCACTGTATTCCCGAAAAGAGTTCGTGTCGGAATTTTGGCCTTTTGAAAGCAATTTTAACTCTTCATTGGTAAAATTGTTTGGATCCCTCATACTTTTAAAAAATTGACACTTTGATCTTCCTAATCTTGATTTCTTTGGTTTGGTCTTAAGAATTTCAATTTCTTGTAATTTAATCCTTACCTACCCAAAAATAATTAAACATACATAAAATCAAATAAAATAAACCTCAAACAATTCAAAGAACTAAAATTTAAAATTAAAAGACATGTTAAAAACTATATAAAATTTAGACTTATTAAGCACAAACACATGTAGATTTGATAATTTAAAAAAAGGTGGATGTTGGTGTAATAGATTTCAATGAACAGTGATAAAGTAGAGAAAATATAGTATAAATTTGTAGAACAAAAAGCAGAACTAAATATACTAAAACTTTAATTTAAAAAAAGGAAAACAAAATGCTAATTTACAAAAAAATAAAATACTAATTTATTAAGAAACTGAAATACAAAATATAAACATACAAATTACTCCAAAATAATAACAAATGATTTGAAACACAATCCTTAATATAACAAAAAAATGTATGTTGCATTTCTTTCAAGTTGGAAAGAAACTGATAGATAGCATTAGTTGACTAACATAACACTCGTACTCTTGGTCAAGAAACAAAAAGAGTTCCCTTCTTTGCTGTTAATTTCGGTATTAAACAATCTATAAGGTCAATGAAGAGGTTGATTTGGATCTATTATGTACATCTTCCAAAGAAGAGGTTTGCTTCTAAGGACCTAGTCTTTTTACGAACTACTGATGCAGCTTCTGCACAGAGAAATCTGAGCATGGTTAGAAAAACATAAAAGCAATATCTCCAATGAAATAGAAATAAGGGGAGAACAAAATTGCCAATGACATCTGCATGCAGCATTCAGAGCATTATACCCAAGTTTCACATGTTAGATAACGGCAATAGAAACAATTCTTCTTTAAACTATGGATAGCGAGAACATGTCTGACTTAAATAAGTATTTGATCAGTGATTGATTTAATGATGGTATAATTCCTATTAAGGACCAATTTTTAACTTGAAATGCAAGCAAATAATAAGACATTTTACGAAGATGCATGGTTACTCTGCTTAGCCTAAGCCCAAACAACTCACAGATGGATAGAGCAAAAATGATAACTTAATGATCTTTTATTCTGTTCAGAGTTCAGGATGGCACTAGAAATTATTGAAATAGTTCAGAGTCTGAGTGATGAATGTGTGACCATGATAACTTATATGATATTATGTATTTTTCAAGAATTTATTAATCCTTTCCAACATTTGACTATTTATTGTACACAATGAAACTGATTATTATATCAGGCCATGTTATACATAAAAGATCCTTTTTCAGCTCTCTTAAGGTTTACATACCATCTTCAGAAAGCTCTCCACTAGGAAGAATTTTTTTAGGAAATTATGTATTCAGTTGTTGAAATAACTATTGTATGTAACAACAATAAATTAAATATGATTTTGCCTCACTGTTATGTATTTGTATTTAGAAATAAAAAGTGTATATAAAAAAAAAAGTAAAAGTATTTAGATGATTAAACATACCATATACTTTAATATAATATCTGATTTAAAATCACAAGTTTAGTAAATAATTTCAAGACAGTCAACCAAGAAAATTCATTTTGTGAGTGTTATGAGCAACCGCACCTTAGTTTCCCTTGGAATGGAAACAACTTTGCAAACCTATGAAAGCCAAAATTTCATTTGAAAGCAAACAAGTTATATAAATTAATTTGGTAATTTTATACAATAAATAAATAATAATTAAAATTTTTTATTTAAATAAAAATATTTAACAAAATTATATATAAGAAATTTTAATTAGT